AGTAAGCAAAGCCTGCACTGGGGAGTGGGGGGGGAGAGTGGCATCCAGGAACAGTATATAGCCGGGCTGGGTGGCTTCAGTGGATTGGCGGCTGGCTTGGAAGTCTTCCTCCAGGGGTCCGCCATCCAATGGGAGGGAGGGGGGCTCTGCCACCCAGTCCTTTCATGAAGGCAGGGGATGAAGAGGTTGTGTGTGTGTGTGGGGGGGGACATTCCTGGAAGAAAAATAAGCCAGGTGTAGCGATGCGCAATTGAGCCCAGGAACACCTGGGGAGATGGTGGGGTGGGATTGCTCAGGACATAACAGCCGTCTGGGTTTGGGCGGCCGTAGAAACAGCAAAGGCCGTTTCGAGGCTGCATCCCTAGAAATAACAGTTTCCAAGTCACCAAGAATTCTTCTTCTCGATTTGGACGGTTTTGTGTGGACGGTTGTTTTTTTCGAGCACCAAGAACCGACTGAGACAAAACGGGGACATTTGAAGAAGAGGTGGGACTGTTTGGCTTGGATTGGCTGGGGGGTGGACTGGATGGCCTCAAGGGGCCCTTCTGGCACTAAGGGCTTTGTGAACTACGTACTGTGCTGGAGGTGCCTTTTCTGCTCGGCTCCCCGCGTTCCTCTGCCAGGGAACTCTCCCGTCCGTTCTGCACCCGGATGAGTCCAGAGCAGTGTTTCTCAACCTTGACAATTTTAAGGCATGTGGACTTCAACTCCCAGAATTCCACAACCAGCATTGCTGGATGTGGAATTCTGGGAGTTGAAGTCCACATGCCTTAAAATTGTCAAGGTTGAGAAACACTGGTCCAGAGGGATGTTCGAGCTAAGTTGGGCACAGCGGACTCTCGGGGAAGAGCCCCCACACACAGGAAGACCCCCCCACACAGGAGTCGCCGTGGGCCCCCCTCGGTCCTCTTTGGTCACCCCCAGAGGAGGCTCCCTCTGGAGGCCGTGCAGCGGATCCCTTCCGGGCAGGTGAGTTGGAGCCTGGCCCGGCCTCTTGCTTGGCCCTTCCTGCCCTGCTGGAAAAGATGCCCACGGAGGACTGGGGTTCCTGGCCAGCTCCGGGGCTCTCCGGCGGGGCCTCGGGGCGGGCAGCTTCTCAGGGAGGCCCAGCGAAGGGTGGACACCAAATGCGTGCAGAGTTGTGTTTTGTGACACACAATCCACCAATGAAGGAGAAATGCTGAACTACGAAGGGCGAGAGATTTCATTCCGTTCTGGGGCTGGGCGAACGTGGCTCCCCTTGGAAGGAGCGGGGACGTGCTCAGCTGTGCCAAAAGGGGGGGGGGGGCTGGCCTGGCCTGGTGTGTCACCCTGGATGCTCAGGGGGGGGCAGCAGCCGGTCAAGGGCTGCATCCAGAGGGGAGCCGAACCCCACCTGCTGGGTGAATCCAGCTGGCACCAAATGAAACGGTCACAATAAGGCTGCTTCTTTTCCCAGCGCGATCAACTTTAGAATCTGGGCCGTTCTTGCAATTCCATAGATTTTATTACCCTTTTTATTATTTAAAAAGAGAACACGGAAGATTATGTCCATATCATATGCAACCGGCTGCCTGAGACGCCCACAAGACCGGCTACTTCCCGGTGTTCCCCCACCACGGACTGGGTGGCTGGGAGGGATTCTCACGGTGGCGGTTCCCGTGGCCTTCCGTGGCTCAACATGTAAAGAGGGCGGGCAGGCAGCCACTGCCCTGAGGAATTAGACGCAGGGGTAGGCAACCTTGGCTCTTTTATGACGGGGGGGGGACTTCAACTCCCAGAATTCCTGAGCCAGCTGTGCTGGCTGAGGAATTCTGGGAGTTGAAGTCCCCCCCCCCGTCATAAAAGAGCCAAGGTTGCCTGCCTCTGAATTAGACCAATGGGGGGGGGGGTTTGTTGCCTCCACACACAAATGTGACTCTCTCCCTTTCTATTTTTTAACTTTTGCCCTAAAAGCCTCTAGTGTAGAAAAACATTGGTCCTTCTTGTGAGGCTTCTGTGAGTTGTGCAGTTCACAAGGCCGCAAAGAGGCTTTCCTCCAATCAGGCCTCCATTCTGTTTCCATTCCCTGGAGGAGCTCTCCAAAAAGCAGACCAGTTAAAAAAGCAAGATTCCAGTCCATAATAAATGCACCAGCCTCTTCGACAGGGACAGGACGGAGGGGTTGGGTGTGTGTGTGTGTGTGTGTGTGTGTGTGTGTGTGTGTGTGTGTGTGTGGTCTCGAAGAAGATGGCCAGGGGGATGCTGTGTGAAGAAAAACCTTCGCTGCGCATTCATGCAACGAATAAATATTTTCCTAAAGTATTTTGAAGCCCCCAAGATCAAGCTATTAAAAACATTTATGCAATGTTAACAGAGGAAGCAACTCTTTACACACACACACACACACAGAGGCAAAAATGCCTACAAAAAAAAATATTTCTCGAGTCCTTGTTTTATCTAAAATTTTAGCTTCAATAAAACACGGTCATTTTGATAATCCTCCAGGCTCACTCTTATAAATGGGATTGAAGCGTTCTCCAGCCGTCCCTGGGAGGTGCCCAAAGGGGGGGAAGAAGGGGATCCAGCTGAGCCCCCCCCTTTGGCAGAAGCCTCGTGGGGAGGAATGGGGGGGCTCCCAGCCTAGATCTCTGGCATGGAAACACATACCCCCCCCCACCCTCCGAGCCATGGCAGGGAATGGGTCCCCTCCGCTGGTCCTCCCAGAAGGGGCCCTTGGGGGGGGGAAAAAATCTTGGCACGGGGGGGGGGAGCACGTGTGTTTTGAGGCTGCAACCACAGCAGCCGCATCTGTGTCTGGATATACGGTAAGCTCCCTTCCAGCCCGGGTGGCGTCTGCGAGCGAGGCCCCCGGGCCCAGAGAGGAGCCCCCCCGGGGACCCCCCGCGCACCCCTGAGAGCAAATGCGCTCTGCCGTTGGGGCGCCACGGGAGGGGGGGAGGCTCCCAGGCTCGCCGGTGTGCGGGTGCGTCTGCCGGCGCTTCTCGTTTCCCCTCCGTCTTTACGGGGCTTCGTTTCCCGTCTCAGCCGCCCCCCCCGGCCCCCGTCTGACCGTCCTGCTTGAGCATTTGGGGGCCGGACCGGCCGCGGGGGACGGGGGGGCCGGAGCAGGGCGAGCGGGAGAGTCACTTCCGGCCATCTGGGCGCCGCGTTTCCCCAGCAGCAGCGGCGGCGGCGGCCCGGGGTCGCCTCCGGCCGGACCGGCTTCCCCTCCTCTCCTGGGCTGCCGAAAGGGCGGCTTCTCCTCCCGCGCTTGCCGTCGGGCCCTGCGCCTCTCCCCGCGGAGGAGCGCTGCCTGCGGCTTGGGCTGCGCGCGACCGAAGGGGTCCCCCGGGCGTTTTTTGCAGCGGCGCAACCGGCCTCCCCGCCTCCCTCCNAGTAAGCAAAGCCTGCACTGGGGAGTGGGGGGGGAGAGTGGCATCCAGGAACAGTATATAGCCGGGCTGGGTGGCTTCAGTGGATTGGCGGCTGGCTTGGAAGTCTTCCTCCAGGGGTCCGCCATCCAATGGGAGGGAGGGGGGCTCTGCCACCCAGTCCTTTCATGAAGGCAGGGGATGAAGAGGTTGTGTGTGTGTGGGGGGGGGACATTCCTGGAAGAAAAATAAGCCAGGTGTAGCGATGCGCAATTGAGCCCAGGAACACCTGGGGAGATGGTGGGGTGGGATTGCTCAGGACATAACAGCCGTCTGGGTTTGGGCGGCCGTAGAAACAGCAAAGGCCGTTTCGAGGCTGCATCCCTAGAAATAACAGTTTCCAAGTCACCAAGAATTCTTCTTCTCGATTTGGACGGTTTTGTGTGGACGGTTGTTTTTTTCGAGCACCAAGAACCGACTAAGACAAAACGGGGACATTTGAAGAAGAGGTGGGACTGTTTGGCTTGGATTGGCTGGGGGGTGGACTGGATGGCCTCAAG